TGTGCCAGGCGGGCAGATGTCCAGCTGAAAGTTCGACATGGGAATTCCCATTAATGCAACAATAAACCAGCCATATTTTTATGGTGTATAACATTATGCCACTTATTTATGGTGATTTAGGGGATGGCTTATCATTGTTTTAACCACATTAAAACTTCACCAAACAGATCGAAACATAGGGCAAGGATGGGCAAAGGTTCTTCTTGTAGTCTGCAGATTGTCATTGTGTTGTTGTTATTAATAGCAATGAGGCCCCTGACAGATATCACATGCTCACGGTTCTTCCTGCTGCGCTCTGAGTGAATCAATATGATAAATATATAGAATTATGATGAATTATGTATAAATTTGTATATAAATATATATACTTGTATATATATATAAATATGCTTGTATATATATATATAAATATATTTGAATAATGGTTTGGAAGATGGCTTTCTGTACTGGGGTGTCATGGCAATTGTGAAATCCTGGCCGTTGCATGGCTGCCAGGATGAGCGTGGATGGACTCCGATGGTCTGTGCGGAAGAAGCTGGTGAATCGGAGGTGGGGCTGCTGCCAATCCAAAGATCCACGTGGAAAAACGTGTGCAAGGGCCCGGAAAAAGATTTGTGCCAATCCAAAGATGATAAAGATGATTAAAGATGACTGGTTGGGTATGAGACGTAAAGGGCACCATCGGTATTTCAACATAGCGCCGAAGTCAAGATCGCATCATCTACAAAGGGACTGAGAAAAATCACTGCAACATGTGATTTGCCAGAGGGTATCTCTAGTAGTTCAACTGGGTTCGTATATCCTTAAATTAATTATAAAGCAATACAACTTTGACAGCTAGCCTCCGGTCATTTCACAGTTTGCTATGGAGAATCATCATTTTTAATCATGTTTTATGGCTAAATCATCGAACTAAATGGGGCCATGGCTTCCAGTTCGGTCGGACAAAAAGGGGCGTGGGATGATCGCCCCAGGTCTTGTCTCTACTCCACGCGTATCTTCCAAACGTGGACGTGGAGGCGTTTGAAATTGCTGATCCCGGGGTGAATCTCATTGAAAGTTTGCATTGGATTTGCATGATTTGCCCAAGACGGGAGTGTTTTTTCCCTCAAGAAATCAAAACATGGCAATGGAAATTCTGAATTTTTTAGATGGTTTTCCCATTGAAACTTCCATTTTTAGGGGGTTTCCAATTGTCACGTTTGAGTACCGGAGGGTAAATATCATCATCTACCCCTGTTCATGGCATTCTTTCGGGAATGAGATGATCAACCGTTGGCTTCTACGAAGCCGCTTGCTTTGTGGACGCTATTGGAATCATCAAGGGAACCACAATTGGAAACCCCCTATAAATGGAAGTTTCAATGGGAAAATCATCTGAAAAAATAGAGAATTTCCATTGATGGTCGATGTCCCAAGCGACCAAACGCATTGGGAAAAGTACTTAAATCTGTAGTCAGCAGACATCGTCGGTGCAAGTCCCTTCAAGGCCCTGGAAGTTGCCTGGTAGGTTCCCCGAGTGCCATCGCCTCCACTTCCACCCATTATCGCTGCAAGCGTGGAAGCTGTGGAGAGTTATGGCTGGCAGGACTGGGGGATGGGAATTGCATGGAATTGCAATGTTGACCCCCACAGCAATATCAGCACAAGGTGGTGCCGCCCAGGTTATAAGTTGGTTTGTAAAAACACATCAACTAGTTTCTATAGAGATACCTACCTTAGACCCAACAGTTTCTTGTAAGGTAGTTCTAGAACAACTTAACAAAGATTACCATCTGGTTATTTGACATGGCCATGGAAAATAAACATTTTTGATAGGTAAACCATCTATAAATGGGCCATGGCTTCCATGGCTATGTTAGTCATAACCAGATGGTGCAGGTAATGCCTTGCATCGCTTTTGAGGCCATGCACGGTGGCCGCAATGATTGGACTGCGCTGCATTGGGCGGCTGCGGAGGGGCGTCAGGTGTTGTGTGCGAAGTTGTTGAGGGAGAAAGCAGATCCCGCGCAAGTGCCGGTGTCTGCATTGGTGGCACAAAAACCAGTTGAGTCATTCAAGTTATATACATCAAGATACCATTGATCCATTGTCGATTGGCAAGTACAAAAAATGGTAGGTCCTACCTGGCCTGGCAGGTGAAAAACTACCTGGTTTACATTTATTGGTGATGCTGGATCACAGGGATGCCCATTCTGGCACTCAACTGCCGTTTTGAATATTTCTACACTGCCTCCATAGCTTGACTGGTATCTGTTTTGATTCGTTATTCGTTGTATCAGTTTTGCATGTCGTGGCTCACTTTGCATGGGTGTGGTTCAAACTATGTATATATGTTGAATATGGTGTTTCGCAGATGGGGCCATTTTCAACACTAGACACCCTTCCACGAATTGGTTTTTTTTCTTCGTTTGAAGATTTTGAAGGAACATGTTTTCAGGCCATTTCACATCTTTGGTAGGAAACCCCCGGGGCTTCCCAGAGATCAGCACCATGGTCTTTCCATGCCGGACTTTCACGGCCCAGGTGGATGACACCGGCAAAAGCGCCTTAGACTATGCCCGGGAAGCGAAGCAACACAGCACCTGGCTGATGCTGTCGAGTCAGGAGCACTTGGCCAAGAGCAAGGTGCAGCTGTTGCAGCTGTTGCGTCTGTTGCAGCTGTGCTTTGCAGCTTGTGATGTAGTAATTGTCCTACAATGGTGCAGCAGTTGATTTCGAGCTACTATATGCTACTATAATAACTAGGGATACTAGGGCTAGGGTTTACGTAGATGGATGGGTTTTTACATTTTTTAAAGGGGCTCTTGAGCAAATTCAACATGTGACATTGTCGTGACATGTGTTTTTGTCTCGCAAGTATTGGTTTGTCTGAAAACGGGGTATGCGGTATACCCCAAAACGATCCACAACGGCCATTTGAACAGGAAAGCATGACAAACCTCTGGATTTTCATGAATTTTGGGCATTCTCTTTTCAGACAAACAACCATACATGGGCATTAGAGTGGGGTACCCCATTCTTGGGGAATTATGGGTATGGGTCAAAATACCCTGCAGGCCCTGACAAGGCCGAGTGATGCTGGCCCTGCCGGCCCAGCTGGCCGAGCGCCTCCATATGGTTCTTATCCGCAGTCCTTACTCCTGCCGGCCAAATGACCGCCGGAGCAGTTTGGTAATCCTGGCGCTGGAAGACCTCCTGTTGCCAGGTTAGATTACCAGTAGCCATGGGCATTGCCCATGGGCCGGCGGCCATGTTTCACAGAGCCTCATAGACCTATGAGCCATTGCTCATGAGACTTGAGAGGCGCCATCGTTCATGCATTCTGAAGGGCTGTTCGAGGAGAATTTTTGGAGCCAAAGAGACTTCCAGTGCCAATGATGATCGATGGTTGTTGGTTGTACAGTTATACACCCACGGTGCATCCCCATGCAACCATTAGTATCTGAAGTGGAGATTTGAAGCTAGATTCACCAGATGTGCAAATCTTCTCCCAACTTCCAACATCGAACAGCGGCCTTCTGTTGGCCATGTGGCCTGCAAATGACCACCCAACGCTGCAGAGCTCATGGAGCTGGGTCTACTTTCGAAGTTTTTTTTTGGGGACCCCTGTAGTTTTTGGAGATCATGCACTGAAAGAATCGGAAAGACTCACAGCCTCGGCTCGAGGAGTTTATCTGGGAGGTTTGGTTTATTCAAGCATCCCTCCTGCTGCTTAGTTGAAAAACGGCGAGAAAAATATGGAGGGATATTAGTCAAGTTCTGTAAATCTGTCAAATCTTTACTTTCAACCCCAAGTCATAAACTCATCACATAGTTTTGCATTGGTGACTTTTGGCTGGAATCCCCACAATATGTTGAAATTACCCCCCCACGTAGATGAACATTGGAATTTCAAGTCCTCCATGTTTCCTCAATGATGGAAATGTGCTGCTTCTTGTGCCGGTGGTGAGTTTCGATTGCGAGTTTTAAAGCCACAGTATCTCCACAGGCACCACTGCTATACTTGGGAGTGCAGTTGAGGAGTTATAAGTGGATATATCTATATTATACTATACAGTACATGTATATAGTGGATATAACTGTTACTTGCTGATGGGATAATTACACATGGTTATGTAACATATTGTAATATACTCATAGATATATGGGCACCATATCCCAACTTTTTTCGGAGTTACAATCCCACGGTGATACCCATGAAATATCATCCCACGTGCACCCCCAAGAATGGTCCGATGGTTTGCCCACCTCTGGATCTTGACTGCCAGGGATCCGTCCGGATCTCGCAGAGTCTGTTTCTGATCTTTGCGATTTGGAACTTTTTGCGCCCCATGCGACGTTGTTCACCATGAAATGGGGCTTAGAATGGGCTTTACAATGGGAGATACAGCCAATCATGGGATATAATGGGATATGTATATATATATAATTATATATATATACATATATATATATTATATATATAGAGTAGCCCATATTCATCATTGTTGATCAGGGTTGCGTCAAGCCAGTCTAGCTAAAATGATCGTCATCTTTTTGGTGTGAACAATGTGAACATTAATATTTTAAATATAAATAAAGCCATGAATAAATAAATAAATAAGTATAATAAGACATATATCTACATATATACATTTATTTGTTATATATATATATTTCTTACCACTTTATCTACAGTAGCCATATCATAGCCATATCTCCAAAACGGGCTGAGCCACATCTCCATGTTTTTGGGCGGGTAAAATTTCACTGTCCTTCTGGGATGTCGCCGTTGCGGTTGAGGTACTGGGCATGCACAAAGAGCACGAGCAATCTGAAGTCGCAGCCAAGCATCGGGGCTCAGCCGCAGTGGTAGCCGCTGGCCGCTGGCCGCTGGCTGGCCGCTGGCTGGCCGAAAGTGATGTGAACTGCTCATTCAGACAGGAAAATGAGTTGTGTCATTTTCCAATCCATTCTTTTAGCCTTGCCTGTGTAGATGAATTATTCTCCTTGGTACAGTCAGAAAAGGAAAGAAAAGACCCAACTTCGAAATTTTATCTGCTCAGGAGTGTGGCTGTAACAACAAGGCCCACAATCCCTCCTACACATATCACCAGCCGTGAAACCCCAGAATTTTCCTCATCTAGCTACACCCAAAAATGGTGGCCATTTGGGTGTTTCAAAAAAAAACCGATCATACAGATCAATGGAAAACCAGATAAAGGTCTTCGCTAAATTGTAGAGGTGTTTTTTCAGATGAATGGAGGTGTTCCAAGTCATGGTCGTCAATGAGGCTGAGAAGCCTCAGCACTGCCTCTGGCTCCCGAATACTGGGTGTGTGGGGGGTCCAGGATCAACCAGTTTCCAGACATCACCAGCGTGGTGGTTTAGTGGTGCCATCTTGGTAAACAACATGTCTATATATCATTCGATACCTATATATAATTATATAGATATGTATATTGTATGGTTCTAAGTTGGGTAAGTAAGGTACAGATTCGTCCACAAACTACTTACTGTGGTGAAGCACCCAGAATGCACAGACGTGCTGCCATTCTCAGCAAGGCCCCGGTCGCAGTATGTGGAGAAGAGAATCAACAAAGCTGTGAGCTCGGTGAGTTTGACCATCTGTGGGGTCCATCAGCCGGGCCAAAAGGATCCAAAGCTGAGCTGTTCCAAGGAACTCTGTACAAAGCACGTTTCGCAGGTGCACGGAGTTACGATTTGTTTCTGGTGTATACATAGACATTCTAATTCTGATCAGGTGGGTTGGCATTCAACCTCAACAGCTATAGTCTTCATCGATCGACATAACCCCGATGTCAATTTTTGGAAACCCATTCATGATCATTCATATGTAGTTTTTTAAGAGGGATTGGGTGTGATGAATGCTGCCAGGTGTCCTTTCTCAACGACATTGAGCTGGCCCAGAGTGGCCCTCAGGTAGGTTTGCAACCTGCCCAGCTGGAACTGGGTATCGTATGCTAGCGTCACTTTTCGCATCGAAAAAAAATACATTCATAATTAATTTGGGGGGTTCTAAAGTTCTACTGTAAAAATGGATGCTCTGGTTATTTCAGTGGGTTTCATGAGTCTTTTTTGCAGATCCCCACGAGATGCCGTCGCCGTCGCCGAGGCTTGGAAACGCGGGCTCCGTCTACGCGGAGCAAGAGAGAAAACTTGAGGAACTGTTGGCGTCGGATGCTTATGACTGGGAAGCTTGTGGAGTCAGTTTGCCTAAGTGGAGGGAACCCATCCCCCTGAGTAAGCGATAGGGGACGACCCTAATGTGTGCACAGCATTAAAATGTAACATATGGTTTTGTCGGCTACTCATATATATATAATAGGCCCTAACATTAAGCACCCCCTAAATGGTCCCAACTACTCTATGCAATTTTTTCCCCCTACCATGGAGGATGTTTAATGGGGGAAGGGATTAGCATGGAAGACATTGGGAAAACATGGGACAACTGTTGGCCAATTCTTCTGTGGGTGTTGCTTCGGAATTGGTGCCATATCCCTTCAGGAAAGGCCAAGATCGTTTGCTCGGGAATGAAACGACCCGGAAGGCCTGGCAAGAGCGCGAGATGTTTTGGCATTTTCCCAAAAAGTGGACCACAAGCCAGCTGAATGTATATTTGAAATTATTTGATTTGAATGCATTTCCCTATTATTTATTCCATGATTCTTAACTGGCCAGTTTGATCAGTGAATGCGAGGAATGCGTTGAGGCACAACTGGCGTTTTGGCCCTCAGTTCTCAGCAAGGCACCAAAATCTCATGCTTGATCCTGCTGCCCAATTCCCCTCCGGTACTATCAGTACTCAAACATGGCGCATTGGAAAATCCACCATTTGATGATTTTTCCATGTTTTTCCATTATATAATTAACATCATCAATAGCTCCATGTCGGCCAACAAAACGTCCCTTCCCTGCACGCGCCCATGTTTGAGGACACAAAAAAATTGGGGTATCGGGGATGAAGGTCCAGAACTAGCAGCCCAAAACTGATGTAAAAGCCAAGGGCTTCACCACAATTGATCCATGGATACCTTTGGTAATCAAACATGGCAATGCATAAAATGGCCCTTTTTTGGATCGCTGTTCTGAATGTGATTGCAGGTTGACGCGATTTGCCATGTGCTTGGCAAGTGTAGTATCTGATCTTATCACTCGTGAGGCATTTCAATTCGAGACCAAAAAGGCCTGTGCCTTGCCCTGTTGAACTAAGGGTTATGAGCCCAAATTAGCTGGGCGTAGGGATCCGCAATGGCAGCTGAAAGGAGAGCATCTTCATTGCCCCCTGCAAATCCTTTTTGGAGCGATAGAACCCAAGCTGATCATGAGTTGGAACAAATGAGGCCAGTGAATTTAGAAAGCTGGGAGGCTCCTGTACCCCATGATGATGATGACTTAGATCAATCCCCACGTGTTCCCTTGCCAAGCGGTGTGTCGGGACATGATCGGGAACATGGGCTGCAGTTTCAGACTCCTGGTGATGCGAAACCAGCTGCTCTGACTTTGGATAGCGAGAAGCCTTGCGTTGAAGAACCAGAGAAGTTGGAGACGGAGGTGACCTATGAGCCTCTGCAGCATGATCAAGCGACTGGGAAGCGTCCTGAGAGGGTGTGGAATAGAAGGGGACAGTGTGATGAAAAAATGTCTTCAAAAGCTGTACCAAGTTGTGATGAAAATGAAAAGAAAGAGAGTGGACTGGAGAAAGATTTGGGGGATCAAGTTTTGCAGCACTTTCAGCAAGAGACGGTGAGACTTCAGAGCCAGAATGACTCCTTGATCAAGGAAATTCAGAGACTCAAGGAGGAGAAACAGCGTAGTGAACTGAATGTTCCATCGTCCTGGAATGCAAGTGCTAGGCAACCAACACCTCCACCTCGAAAGTCCCCACAGACTCAAGAATCTCAACATGTTTGGATGTCACCAGACACTTTCAGATGTACTCCAAATGGTACACGTATCCCTTCTGGACCTCCTCCACCATCGCCACCACCTTTGCCCGCTTGGCCAGTTGACTTGCAGGGCTATGAAACCTGTTTGGAGCCGCCAAGGAAGCTTCGTGGGGTGATGGGTGATGTCCAGTACAAGATTGGAGGAGGCGTCATCACGCCACGGGAGGCCAGAACCATGTGGCTTGAGAGAGAAGTGGAGTCTTTGAAAGAACGTTTGGAAAGAGAAGCCATCAAAAACAAGTCAACGTTTACCTCAGGGTATTGGAATGTTCCTTTTGTGACTGAAGCCACTAGGGACAGAGAAACCAGTGAAGCAGTGGCATACATGAAAAGAAATGCTGGCGTTGTGACACCTGATTTGCCTAGCTCATCACATGCATGTCCACATTCGTCACAACCTGGTCAT